GTATGAACATAGTTTTCGATGTTATAGGTCAGCAGAGCTTAATAAGAAAACCTTGTCATTGATTCTCTGTGTTCAGACATTTGTGATGTCACCTTTGTCTTAATCTCTCAGCTTAAGTATGGGCGCCCAGGGCCATAATTCTGGTCTGTACTGTTCTTCCTACGTGGATGACATGCTCCAAGCAAAATACTCACAGCAAGGTGTTGAGAAGTAATGTAGAGCAATGTGAGCATACTGTTGTGACTTCTGCTCTATATTACTTCACATTGCATTTCTCTGGAACATATCTTATTTGTCAAAGCATCTGAAAGAGGCAAAGCAGCACTTGCTAAAGTTCTACCAGGAAAAAGGGTTCCCTATCAGACATATTAGTAATGGAAATAATACAAAACACAAAAATTCCCCAGCCTCAACCTGCCAGCCAGCCTGCAACCAAACAAGTAGCCCTGTCAACAGTATGCGTTAAAATCAGAGGTTTTAGTTGCACAAACTTTTGGCCAAAAATATGTAGAAGCCACACTGCCGCGCCAAGGCACCTCTGCAAAGTGCGGTCCTAACTCTATGTATCCGAGTCTCCAAATGTGAGCATATTAATGAAGTTGATAAATTACATGCAGGTGTACCTGGAGGTAGCCTACTCCTCCTAATAAGGTGCAGGGACGCACTGGAGGCCCAGCAACCAAAAATGCACGCTGGGACTCCAGTGCATCCCCCAAACCAAAAATAGTCAAACTAGAAATAAATGGTACATGCATGTACCATTTATTTCTTCTTTTTTTATTTCCATATTAGTAATGGAGCCTGCTGTTCATCATCACATGCAGCCCTCAGGCCTCATCAGATGCAGTTTTAGGCCCCATAACACGCAGCCATTAGCCCTCATCACATGCAGCCCTCAGGCCCCATAACATGCAGCCATCAGCCCTCATCACATGCAGCCCTCAGGCCCCATCACATGAAGCCCTCAGGCCCCATCACATGCAGCCCTCAGGCCCCATTAGATACAGCCCTCAGGCCCCATTAGATACAGCCCTCAGGCCCCATTAGATACAACCCTCAGGCCCCATCACATGGAGCCCATAAATGTACTGCAGGGAAGCCGCCACTTGTTTTATAAAAGGGATCTTGGTGATGTCGCTGAGATCACTTGTATGCAGCCTGCATACAGGGGGCCCATTGAGGAACCTGACATTGGGGCAGCAGAGAGAGTAAATCCGGTCCTGGTCCCATGGTGTCTGTGCGAGTGCATGCTCCCAGCTGTGTGCATTGATTTACACTGTGTCTCTCCTCTTCTCTCAGGAGAAGATATCTACTGTGCATGCGATCGCCCCCTGATCCTTCACAGCCGCTCAAGAATCTTCAGACGAGAGAGAGCGGCAGAGACACAGGTAGGTTTTTACCTATTTCGTAACTTTTTTTCTGCAGTATATATCTACTGCTTGCTAGCAGTAGATATATGCAAAGAAAACCCCAAAGGTTTAATTGTACTTTAAGCAAATATTTTTGTGCATCCTGTACCCCTTAAAGGGAACCTGTGCAGGGCAAAACAATAGGTTCACTTAAATGTCGACCTTCCCAGGCAAACGTAAGTCCCCTTTCATCACAACTCTTTCCTCTTAGATTCATGAAGGAAAATAGCACTATCAGATATAGGTGAGCATGTGATTCACTCCTCTTCCTCCCAAGAGGCAGCTCTGGTGTTTGGTTATTGTCCACTCACTCAGTGTTTTCACATTGGGGTAGAAAATCCTCAGCCCTCTGTAAGATAAAAGTCACATTTTAGGGCTGTTGGACAGTGATTGGAAATACTCCCCTATTCAGACCTCATAGACAGCGAAACCTAAAGTAAAGAACTGATGCAAGAAAGCAAAATTGTGAACTAACTTAAGGCAATAATTTGTGATGATGGCATGGTGTTTTATTTAGTATTTTATTTAGGTGAGTAGATTACATTTTCACAGCTTTACATTTCATCTTTTTCAGCTTATATAGTACAAGTTTACAACTGATCCTTTAGAATGGCCAGTTTTTAGCATATAGTTATGAAAGGTGTGTTACAATAAACCATGTTCTATAAGATGATGTCCAATGTTCACCATGACCACCAATCACCGCAGCTCCACCACATTCTGTGTGGTGTACTTTTAGCCCACAGTAAAATGTGGGGCCGTTGCTTGGATTTTGCCTTCAAGACCATAAGTGCCCAGTTCTCCACTGGATGGAGGATGGTGAGTATGTGAAGCTGGGGAGGAGTAAGTTAAGTAAGTTTGTGGCCTTCATCAGCAAAGCGCAGGGTCAATGTAGATGAGCTTAAATGCAAATTTTAACAGGGTTATTCACAATATGGTGACGAGTTTGGAGAAGACAGGAGGAGGGAACAATCTAGGACAACATAGCTGATTTGGAACAATTCTTCAATTCAGCTCACTTTCAAGTTCAGCTATGTTGTCCTAGATGGTTCACTTCTCCAAACTCTTCACCCTTTTGTGAATAACCCTGTAGATGTTTAACTGAAGAGAAGCATCAACCTCTAAGCCCCTTCTGGTAGTATTTTCTTCCCAGGTGGTCCAAGACGCACCCACACATTTAATGCTAGCATGATTACCAGGTGCAAGTGATGAAAACATGCATTGAAGACTCTCAATAGGCAGCCAATGTCCACAAAGTTTAAATGTCAAGTTTTCATTTTTGGAATGTATGCTACTTTTAAAGACAATCTGTCACTTTGCCTGTTCAGAGAAAAGTGACAAAAAACATGTTCTGTAATAGAATGTCCAATGCTCACCATGTCTTTTAGTCCACAAGAAACTGTTCCTATCATGAAAAGGACAGTTGCTTTTGTTGTGCCTTCAAGGTCATAAGTTCCCGGTACTCTGTTGCATAGAGAATGATGAGTATATGATGCCAGGGAGGAGTAAGTTAAAGTGACACTAAACACCTTAAAAATGCATTCAAGTACCTTAACTATTAACAACAATGTATCTTATTTGTGTATCATTCGGCTGTAGATCCTCAAATCATCTCTGAATTGGTGCTGACACTGTTGTTCCTTCTGGAGGGGGGACTACTTTTGTTCCCCATGGTCCCTTTGTGTGTTGTTAAGTAGCCACTGCTCCAAGATAACTTCTATGATGGACTACAATCTCACGTTTAGTTTATTAATTTGTATTGAGGTTGTAGTCCATCATGGAAGTAATCTTGGAGTGGTGGCTACTTTACAACACACACAGGGACCATGGGGAACAAAAGTACTCACCCTCCAGAAGGGAGAACAGTTTCAGCTGAGTGATACACAAATAAGATACATTTTAGTTAAAAGTTAAGGTACTTGAAGGGATTTTTTCCGATTTAAAAGGTTATTAAACCCTTGGCGTCATATACAGTATCTACAGCTAGCAAGTAGTAGATATATGCAAAAACATAAAAACAAAATAAAAAAAACTTTTCAAACAGGTTAAAACTTACTTGTGTCTTCACAGCGCGCTCTCGTCCGAACATCTGAACAGTCTTGGGCGGCCGCAAAGGATCTTGGGCCGGGGCGCATGCGCAGTTCAGATCTTCAGCCGGGAGACGAGGAGAGACACAAGGTAAGTCTATGGAGCAGCGTGCACCCGCACAGACTCCGTGGGACAGGAAGCGCCAGGAAGAGAGAGGAGTCAGCGCTTGATCGGAGACCCGCACCAGCACTGGAAGGACTCCTGAAAACTACAGGAAAGAAGATGATCAGATCAAGAGGCATCATTTAAGGTAAGTCCTTACACTAAAATGGGGGAAAAACATTTTATGCTTTAATGTCACTTTAACTTCTGAGTTTAGTGTCACTTTAATAAGCCTGTTGCTTTGACCTTCACGAGCAAAGCGCAGGATCAATTTGGGTGAGCTTCTATGCAAATTTTAGATTTTTAGTATGTAAAAGCATCAACTTCTGGTAATATTTTTTCCAAGGTAATCCAAGACTGAGAAACATCCACACATTCAATTCTATCATGGTTACCATCTGCAGACAATGAAAATAGATATTGAAGATTCTCAATAGATAGGCAATGTCCACTAAGTTTAAATGCAAATTTTTCATTTTTGGAGTGTAGCTGCTTTTAAATACAATCTATCACTATGCCTGTGAGGAGCAAAATTACAAATTCTCTTGATAGGGTATCCCCCCACCTACTGATACTGATCCTACCCATGCACCCCATTGCCAGTAGCAGTGCGTCTAATCTAATCACTGTGTAAGCTCCTTGTTGGGGAGAACACAGGGATAATGACCTGCTCCCCTCCTCCATGTTACATTGTTCGGGTGTTATGATTGGCTGCTCAGTCCTGACTCTTTATCCTAAGAGAAAGGGGAGAAAGTCACAGGCTCCCCATATCCAGAAATAGCGGGTATTTCTCAAAGGTCCTATGGATGAACACAGTGTCGGGGCAGCGAGACAAAGCTAATAATATGTGGGTAGTGGGTGCCTTAACAAGAGAACAGATTATCTTCAAGATTTCACTTTTTTTTTCCCAGTATGACACATTGTAATGATTATGGAAACCGGAACATCGAGCATACACCAGGGGCACCCACAATTTTTCGTCTGGAGATCTACTTTTCAAGTGACGAGCTCAATGAGATCTACCAACAAAAAAACACCTCCATTCAGGGGCGGGAGGGGGCGTGGCAGTGCATTGAAGTGAACCGGCTCTCTCTCCTCGCGCTCTCTCCTCTCTTTCTCCCGTTTCTATATGCTGTCTCTTCTCTCTCTCTGCTGTCTCTTCTCTCACTTTCTCTGCAGTCTCTCTCCTGTCTGTCTTTTCTTACCTCCACTGCAGCAGCTTCCCAAGTCTCCTCTCCTCTCTCCTTCCCGTCTGCGGCGTCTGACACATTCAGCCGCACGAGCACTGCGGGCGGACAGGACACAGGTCAGTGAGCCGATCGGAATCTACCAGTTTTCGCTTTGCGATCTACCTAATGGGCACCCCTGGCATACACAGTATTCCAAGGCTGTTGCCCAATCAGATGAAGTTAAAATATTTCCAATAATCAGAATACATATAATTATTAAGCAGATTATCATTTTAACAGCAAAGTTTCCAAAATCCAGTTTTGCTTCAGAGTTTTAGTTCTATTTCTCCTCCATCAGATTCCTCCTGGGACCCCAGATTTCCAAGGTGGTCCAGTGTGGCTGGAAAGAGCAGCGGGTCCAGGATCAGTCTGTGCACACTGTCGGTATTGTATTGTGTGGCTGCTCCACAGCGAACTTGTTCTCCACTAGGTAGCAAGACGATGTGGGGACGCTGAGTTGCGGGGCTGTGGCGATTGAGGCCTTCTTCCAGTCTTTGGCGATGTACGTGTGGTAAGGATCGCTGGAGTGTTCCCGTTTTTTGGAGCGGATGTAGCTTATCATGATTCCAAACGTAAAGAATCCAAAAAATCCCAGGAGTAGAAGAATGTACAGCACTTCCATTTGGTCGGGTTGTTTGCCATGGCCTAGAGTGGCATTGACAGGACTGCTTCCATAGTTTATCAACATTGAGATCGACGAGTTGACATGCGTTGTGCCTTCACTGGCCATCTTCCTGGTCGTCAGCCAGTCAGTCAGTCCCTCTGTTCTGTCTCCTGTAACAGAAATGACTCTGTTAGCCTCTATTAGTCTCCTCCTGTCTACACGCACCCTCTGCAGCACGGGTAAGCAACCTTGTCACTCCAACTGTGCTGTAATTACAAATCCCATTATGCTTGTGCTTCTGGGATTCATGCCTGTGGCTGTCAGTCTTGCAATGCCTCATGGGGCTTGTAGTTCCACAACAGCTGAAGTGCCAAGGTTGCCTACCTTTGCTCTACAGGGTTGGCTGCTCTGGATGGCTTTGAAAACCTAAAAGATATTCTAAAGCTGGCCATACACAAACAGGTTTTTCTATCCATGCTAAAGAACCTGGCTAGGGAAATCCTCACTGCTGGGGAATTGTATTCTGACAACCATTCTGACTGATCGGCTGCAGTCACTGTTCGGGGACAATTGTTGTCCCATCTCGACAGGGCCACCCATTGGTAGACATTTCACAGATTCCTGCAAATCAGGGGTAGCCAAGCTGTGACCCTACCAGCTGTTGTGGAACTACAAGTCACATGATGCATTGCATGACTCTGACAGCCATACATATGACTCCCAGAGACAGGTGCATGATGGGATTTGCAGTTTCACCCCAGCTGGAGGGCCAACGTTTGCCTACCCTTGCTGTATAACACCCAAAAACAGTGAGGGCAATTGATCAAAAATGGAGCAGACAAAATCTGGAGCAGCTGTGCATGGCAACTAATCAGCTTCTCTGTCTCATTTACAAATACTAACTGAACAAACTGAAGAGAGAAGCTTATTGGTTGCCATGGGAAACTGCTCCAGATTCTGCCTTCTCCAGTTTTGATAAATGTTCCCGTGTATGGCTAGCTTAACCCTCCCCCACTCCAAAACTGCAAAGAAAGTATTTGTATTACTTACAGCTTCCCTGCTGTCCATGGCTATTCAAAAGAAAAGATATTACCTTGTAAAAGCAGCAGTGACATCATCACTGTGCTGTACATAACATATGCAGAGAGCAGAGTTGTGGGAGGGACCAGGCAGGCCCCCCCCACTACAGAAAATTACAGGAAGGGGCGGATACAAGACCAGTCATCCTGCACAAGGACAGAACAGCAGTGACTGGTCTGTATTGCAGGAAGTTTTACACTGGGTTCCTTTACAGATCTGGGAGAAATACACAGAGCACACCAAGATTCAAGCAAGTATACACTTGGCTCTTGTATTTAGATGATATTTTCTGATTCTAGACTTCAGCTTTAAGGAACACAATATCCTGTCTGATAAGCAGGCCCGGATTTCCCACAAGGCCAACCACCAAGGCCCGTCCTTGGGGCAGCAGAGAGTGGAGGGGCAGCAGGGGTGTGGCATTCCTATCTCCCGACGCCCGGGACATGCAGCGCTGGGCAGGCTGATGATAAGATGAACAGTAGCAACTATTCCGGAGATTCCCTGTAAATTGCTTCCCTTTCAGGCAATATATCTATACTCCTATAATAGACTGCAGACAGCTAGAAGATCAGGTGAATAAAATGTTTCTTAATAACCTTTGTTCATAAGGCAGGAGAACACTTCCCCTTGTAGGAAATCTTAAACGCATTGCATAGGTGCCATACAAACGCCTGGCTGTTCACGGTGTGGCAACAATAACAAATGACCCTTTCATTGGAACTTTAGTCATTATTCTTTCATAATGAAAACACAGTGCCCCAATTCAGTCTGTTTGCCCCCCTACTCGCCCTTGCAACACAGTCTGTCTTATGGCCAAGGTCACTGTGTACCTTTGGCAGTACTGAGATATGAGCAAGAAACAAAGTCTTGGGAATTTCGGAGGAGTGAGTATGCTAACATACTAAAGGAGGGACACCGGTAAAGAAAGTATTTTGCAAACCAATATAACAGCCTCTGCTTATATATGGGGAATAAAGTGCCTGCGTGCAAGTGTATGAAAGCAGCAGACAGTGCCTTCATCTTCATCTGCTTTTTCTCAGAAAGGATGGAGCCATCTTTGTTCAGATGATATTAAAGCAGAACTCCAGGGAAAAGTATTATAAACCCTTGGAGTGGGTCTACCCAGGGCCGGATTTACCCTCTCACCTGCCCCAATGCCAGGTTCCTCAATGTGCCCCCCTGTATGCAGGCTGCATGCAAGTGATCTCGGCGACAAAACAAGCGGCGGCTTTCCCACTGTAGATTTAGCCCTGCTTGCCCAAAGCAGGGCTAAATGTAGAAAACAACTACCTGCCCGGTGCCCGGAACTGCATGTCCCGGGAGTCGGGATATAGGAATTCCACACCCCTGCTGCCCCTCTACTCCCTGCTGCCCAAGGCCGGGCCTCGGTTGGCCTTGTGGGAAATCCGGCCCTGGGGCTACCCACTTACCTGCTGCAGAACCCACCGGATTTGATATATGCAGAGAAGGACCTCAGTGTTGTGTAAGGCTGCCCTAAATACTTGTCCGCATCAGGAAGCCAGCGGTTCCTGTAGGTATGGCTGGTCTTGGAGCAGGAGGGTGTATTTTGTGCAGAATGCACCCTCCTTACTGTTACCGGTGTTGTATCTTAACACAACACCGGGAATTAGGCAGAGTAGGTACCTGCACAGTGCTCCTCTATGGTGGTATGTACCTACTCTGCCTAATGGTAAATCTGACCCTGGGCGGGGCCAGCTTAGCATGCTGTACACCGCCTGCAGCATGAATGAGGCCTAACAATGTGGTTGGCCTTAGGCATGTTGTCAACACTTGTGGGGAAGATCATTGAAGGGGACAACATCCATGAGGGGGAGGTAGACTGCAGAAGAAGGCCAAGGGAGCTATCTCACACCACGCTACACTCCTTCATACCTATGCAGTGACCTACTAAACTTCGGCCATGATACAAATACAATATTTGTATTGTTGTGTTCATGCGTTCAATGTAAATCTGGCATTTGTACACTCCAAATTTCATCCTGAATGTTCCAAAAACATTAAATACTTAAAGGCCGATTTGTAAATCTTCCTCCGAGCCATAAGCTGGTCAAATGCCATTTGCATAGTCTTCCAGCCACTTGATGGAGCCGAGGAGCATAGGAAATAGAAAAAGCTTTACCCAGAGTTCTGCTTTAACAAACTTCCTAACCTTTCTAGTCTATCCAGAACCGCAAAAAAAAGGTTTCACTATAGACCCCCATAGTATGTTGATACATTCTGAGAATTTAATATGGGAGAGGGGTAGTCTAGCCTATATTTTACCTGCTCCTTGGCTTTCTCTCACTCCTGTGCTTCTGGGAACTTCTTTAGTTTTCCTTCGAACCCATTACCCTTTAAACAGAAACATAATTATAGCTTAGATAAAAGCACCAACGCCCTATGATTTACATCGAAAGGACAACACATGGGGCTACATTACACTATTACCATTCATTACAATGAAAAGATATGAGAAATGTTTTGTACATTACAGTTTCCTGTATTTTTATCAGAAACCGTAGGCAGAAAAATCTGTTTGCTTTGGAACCTACAGATGCATATTTGCTTGTGTGTACTTTACTTGCGGCATGGACTCTGTCCATACTGGGCAAAGTGACAGGTTCCCTTTACTGTGCTGCTGACTTGCTGGCCACATGAAAAACATTGACTCCTCTTGCCCATGTGTGACAGAGCTCAAGTCTCATGATTGGTCAATGGAGCATTATATCAACTTAATTTGTTTATTTCTGATGAGTTGATTACCCAATCAAGCTGGTTTCCACATGATCACTGGATGAGTTACCTCCATGAGATCTCTGACCCCGTGCTGATTATGTTGATTGGAGCAAAATTCAGCATATTTATTCCCAGAGAATGTTTGTACAAGTCATTCTAAATTGGGAAAGCTGGTCGGATGACCAGCGAAATGTTGTCAAGAAAAATACAGGAAGTCCAGTTGCCTTGATTTCTGTTTTACAGAGATACCATGACCTGGATGAATGAGAACCTTCACAGACACACTAGATGACTATTTGTGGTACCTGGCAATTGGCTAAGATTTGATTTTTGCATGTTGATTGCTATAGTTTTCCTTTAAGTTGTTACCCATACCCAGGGGCGTCCGGAGGCCGGGGTGTCACCTTGAGCGGGTACCGGGTGATACCCCGCCGTGATGTCATCGCGCATGCAGGTATCGTCACCATGCTCGGCCATCCTGGTGATGGACCCCGGCAGAGAGAGGAGGGGACGTTCACCCGGTGGGATAGTGTATGCCGCCGGGTCCCCTCCTCTCTCTTACAACTGTCAGTCCATTTTGGTGTCACCCCTCCAATGGTGTCACCCCCTGCCCGTACCCACCAATTAGATTTCTAGTGTTGTATATGTTTGTATGTAAAGGCCATACTTTTTTTTCTGTTTTGGCTAAAGTGGAGAAGGGTAGGCCCTCTGGCACATTTTAGGTGGTCTACGTCCCCTCTAAGGAGATTTGCCCTCTCTGTTTGACCACTGATGACCACTGGAATTGGAAATCCTAAATTGTCATGAGAGTAAGGGGGGGATCTTCCAATGGTTACCTCTATGGGAAGATCCCCCTCTTACTCTCATAACAATTAAGGATCTGATGACAACTGTCTAATGTGGGATTTGCCCTCCCTTTGGGGAGATATCATCTCTTCCTGTTGCGCCTCCAGGACAGGAAGTGAAGGGAAATCCCTCCAGTTGGACACAGACATCAAAGAATAACCCAATTTGGGCTTCTACCCTTGCCTACTCTATCCAAAGCTAAAAGAAAATATTTTTGCAATACATAGACTTAAAAAGGAACGTATACTTATACATTTTTGCACCCAAGATTCACACATTTTCCAATTGGATCCAATTAAAAATGTGTAAAAGTTGTGTGAATCTTGGGTGAAAACCTTTATTAATAGATTCATGTTTTCTATGTTTATTTAGAATTGAAAAATAAAATGTAACTTTTTTCATTTTTAGACAGGGAATAATAAAGAGGAACCTGTTTAGGAGGGGTATAACCTGTTTAGGAGGGACAGAGGTGGGAGAAGAGGGGGGGGTGTTTGCATTTACGTAAAA